TATGAAGGTAAGTTACTTCCTGTTATAATTGGGGTATTAGTTATTGATTACTTGTTATAATTGAAGCATAATCTAACTCCTTTAACTATATGTGTGTTGTGTAGCTTTTAGCGTTTGAGGCAGTTCCAGATTTGCGGAATAGATTCCGGGAAGCTATTCCAAGCGCACACATGAGTTGCCCTAAGATGTGCAAGACAAGGTTCAAGAAAAGCGAAATGAAAGGGTTTCCTCTTGAGAGTATAAATGAACACTTTGGTGGAACTAAGGTTAGTTATTCTTTTCGTACTTTGCATTAAAATTATTATCTTCTAGTTTATTTCCATATACTGTAATTTTAAATATAACTCGCTCTATGCACGAGTCTGTATTAATATTTTGATTTATTTTTAAGCTACTATCTTTAAAATTATTTAAAAAATTATATATATTTATAGAAATTTTCATTTATATAAGAGAATTTAATATATAATGTGTAATTTATCCCATTTTTATTTATAAATTTTAAAAAACTATTAGGTAAAATAATAACAATGACACCTATCGAATTATCCAACTTTGACGTACATATACATTTGATTTAGAAAAATATAATTTTGCTAAAATTTTGATATTATTTTCTGTTTTTCATAGAATTTCTATAGTTCTTTTTTTCTTGAAGGTTTATATGTTCAAATATTTAGTTTTTTATTGAAAGTCTTATTGATGTTGTGTACCACTGTATATATAATCCATGATTCATGTTGATTCACATTTTAATTTTGTTAGGAAGCTGTAATGATCATGCAAAACTATTTTTTCCTTCTCCATCATGTCTTCCAAGAGTTTTATGTTATATTTTTATTCAGTTTTTATTGTTTTAATTGTTAAATCGAGTTGTTGTAAATTTTTTAAAATTGATAATGGTTACTTTTTTTAAAATATGTATTATTAATTGTTAGGATGATCTTCCAGCATTAGAAAACGGATTATATTATATGGTTAACTGAAAGCTTCTATGAAACTTCTTGAACTTAAAACTTTCATTATTTGTTGAATTTTCCATAAGAATTCGGATCATATCAAGTTTATTTTTCATTAGTTGTTGGTTTTTGTTTTACGAGAGTGTGCAAGTATGTTCACCATATTCTAATAAAAATCATGATCATGTGTCATCATGGTATGGGACTTATGACTTATTCTGTCCTTTTACTTATTCACATTTCATGTCTCTTAAATTTTATTTTATTTTATGTAGCAGAAGAAAATCAAAAGAGACACTTGAGCTTGGTGCTCACTAGGCATGTTGGTATGGTTATTTTCTTCATTTTTTTTTTGAACACCTGGTTATCTTCTTCTTAATTTATAATTTACTCTGGGAAAGTTTGCGTTACAGCTAAAGTTTTTACAAGAATTTTCTTGCGTAGAAATTTCCGAGCTTATGTAACACAACTTTTGAAATCCCTAATGGAATCCTTGTTCTGTTCAGAAGTTTGTAATCCTCAACAACTGGAGGACAGATTCTTTTCCTTGCCGGTCAGGTGGACCATGGACAAATCCAAAGGGATGAGAAAGAAGCAAAAGAGAAAAATAGATAAAAGGAACATGCCTTGCGTCATAAGTTGTTTTTGTTCATGTGTGAACTTATCATTGTTGTGTATGCGCTTTGGTCTATCATCATCTATGGCATATATAATGGATACAAATGAAGAAGAGAGGCTCAAGGTACTTGTTGTGTGTTTTGATTAGTTCATGTTTGTTCTTTCTCAAATTGCGTGTCCCATTGGTTTATAGTTGAATGAATTAACTGTATGGCTAATTGCTGGCATTTGACAGGGTATAACAGTTAAAGTTGCAAGGGCTCACTTTGAAACTGAGAGCACTAAGTCCTCTATTTTCGATGCTCCAATTTAGGTTTAACAACATCTCCTCTTGAAGCCTAAGGAAAGGTTATTAGTATATTTCCAAAATGTGCGGTCCATGGACTATGATCAACTCTGCTTTGAAGGAGATTGCCTAGTTTTAGTCCAACTACTACAAAATTAATTATCATAATTTAAGCATCTCTAATCTTATAGAGGATGGTTATACAAATTTCAATCTATCAATGTAATTCATGTAAAGAGAGAAGACAATGAAGCAGCCCATCTTCTGGTTAAACATGGAACTCCAAATAATTTTTTTTACTTTGCTTCTGTCTATCCGCCTAATAACATTTTGTATTCGGATTGTAATTCTTTATAATCAATAAATATATTTTCAACTTCAACTAATGTAATTATAATTCATCATATCACAAGATTTTGTCAACATTTTTATCTATACAACAATTTCAGTTTTCTACTTACTTTACTTTGACCCTTTTGACACCATCATTTTAGTTTAGCGACTATAAATCGAACTGAATAGAACCAAACCAATCTAAGTTATGAAATTGAACTTTTTGGTTTCTGATTTGAATGAATTATGGAAAATTAATTTTAAAACACTATAAAGTTTTTTTAATTGAATTTTTATGGATTCCATTAAAATGATAACAAAAACTCGGAATTAGTTACTTACAATTTTTAGGTAAAATTTTATTAAATTATTTTTCATATAATAATATTAGAAAAATATTATAGAATTGTGAAATTAATAAATTGAATAATAATAAAATTCAAAATGATCTAATAGAATGACTATAAAATAATCGAATAATATTAAAATTAGATAGAAATTTTAATTCTTTTAAATTTTATGAAAATGTTAAACTGAATAACCCCATCTTAGTTCAATTTGATGGAATTTTTTTGAACCTAAGTGCTATCCAAAGTCGTCACAAGGAGAGATGGAGACATATCTTGGGATCCCTAAACAAATCAGCGGACCCAAAAAGAAGGTTTTTGCCTTTATCCAAGATCGACTTAGCCAGCGACTCAATGCACGGTCGGCAAAACTCCTGTCAAAGGGAGGCAAAGAAGTTCTGATTAAGTCGGTAGTACAAGCACTACCGACTTATGTCATGTCCTGCTTCTTACTCCCTCAAGACCTCATTAAGAAAATCCAGGGCGAAATAGCGAAGTTCTCGTGGAGCACCAAAGGACTGAATAGAGGTATGCATTGGATAGCATGGGAGAAAATCTGCATCAGCCAAGAGAAAGAGGGGCTGGGATTCCGCGATCTCAAATGTTTCAACCTGGCTCTTTTGGTCAAGTAGCTGTGGAGATTAATCCAGTTCCCCTCGTCTCTTCTGGTAAAAGTGATGAGAGCCCGCTACTATAGATTCTCGAAACCTCTGGAAGTGGAAAGAGCCAATAATCCCTCACTTGGTTGGACGAGCATGTTAGCAGCCAAAAAGATCTTACAAATGGGGATGTGCTTCTCCATCAATTCGGGTATAAGTACCAGAGTTTGGTATGATAATTGGCTACCAGTAACACCTCCTCGACCAGCGTTAGGACTTGCCCAAGACCTTAACCCGAAACTATATGTGCACCATTTGATAGATCCAGACACGTCAAGGTGGAGAGTGGACTGGCTGGAGCAGCTGATAGATCTGGAGGATATTCCGCGTATAAAGATTATCAGGCCTAGCAGAGTATATAAACCTGACCGCCTAATATGGGCCTACACTAAATCAGGCAGCTATTCCGTGAGAACGGGATATGAAGTAGCTCTCGATTTGAAGGAGGAAGGGAATACTCAACAGATAACTTAGCCAAGCTTTAACCCGTTTAAGAGCAAGATATGGTCCATTAAGACATCGAGAAAGCTGAAGCACTTCTTATGGCAAGCCTTATCCGGGTTCTTAGTGACAAGTCATCAACTTGTGAACCGTCACTGCGGTACTGATAGACAATGCCAACGATGTGGAGCAGAGGAAGAAACAATAAACCATGTCCTGTTTGAATGCCCACCAGCCCTACAGACGTGGGCCCTCAGCGATATCCCATCAATTCCAGGGGTTTTCTTGTGTTCATCTGTCTCGCAGAACCTAGCTTTCCTCCTGGAACGATTAAGAGAACAAGGGATCCCAGAGAGGATTTTGGAGACTTTCCCTTGGATTGCATGGTATATCTGGAAGGCAAAGAATGAGAAAGTTTTTAATGACAAAGTGATACTTCCCACAGAGACACTGGAGATAGTCGTATACGAAGCTGAATCCTGGAAAGTTGCTCAGGTAGTAGGAACAATGGAAGAAGCAAGTGTAAAGATAAACTCTCAGCAAACACAAACAGCAATCACCGAATTACCAAATTCCTACCCGCGATGCCAAGTAGACGCGTCATGGATACGGGGGGCAGATTTGTACGGAGGTGGCTTTATCTTGGAAGCAGGGGAAGGACAACGATTACTCGGGCTCTGGGCAAAAGATAATAGGCAATCCCCTCTCCACGCAGAATTTGAAGCCATCCTTGAAGCCATGAAGGCAAGTGCACACCTCCAATTTCGATCTATGCACCTCGAGATTGATTGTTTACAACTGGTAAAGATGATTGAAGAGGAGGAAGAATGACCAGCTTTCGATACGGAATTAGAGGAGTTTTCCTACTTAAAAGAATTGTTTCAACAAGTTACCATAAGCTTTATTCCTAGATTACGAAATGTTCGTACTGATTATTTCGCGAAGAGTACTCAAGCACGAGATTACTGTTTTTCCTATATAGACTCGATCGCTCCAGAATGACTGGTTTTTGAACTAAGTCTTTTTGGAAATTAATATTAATACATGGTGAAACTGATGAAAAAAAAAAAGTACTATCCAAAGTCGTAGAACTAAATTAATTCGTTTGAATCTTGTCAACAAACAAACATATTTGTTGGTGGAAAAAAAGATAAAAATAATCTTTATTAATGATTAATTGATGATTTCCCCTTTTTTCATTGGCTTAACGCATTAGACAATTCTAGTTGCCAGAGGAATATTCTCTATGATCCTTTTAACATTCCCCATGAATCCAACAAACCTTCTGAATCTCTGAATTGTAGTATCCATTTTTTCCTTAACTTTTCATTCGAAAGCTCTCTTCGTTTCCGTTACCATGACGTTGGAGAGTTACGACGGCGATGTTCACACCGTACCACAATCGGAGAACTCACTCCCGACGGCGACCGATAGCGAGAGAGAGAGAGGCGGGGAGCTATTCGTGCCGCCTCTTAACTTCGCTATGGTTGATAATGGAATTTTCCGTTCAGGTTTCCCTGAACCAGTTAGTTTCAGCTTCCTACAGTCTCTGCGACTCCGATCCATCATGTATTCTCTCTGAATTTATTCGATTATTCCTCAATTTTGTTACTTGAGTTAGGTCTGCTTAGTTTTGATTCCGCCGTCTTAATCTCTCTTAATTCATTCGATTATTCCTCAATTTTGATGCTTACGTTAGGTCTGCTTAGTTTTGATTCCACCGTGTTAATTACGAGAATTGCTTTGAAGAATTTAGAGGAATACGAGCTAGGGTTTATAGAGTTTTTGCTACTGTTTCTATTATCAAGCAATAGTAAACTGAAAAATAATCTACTGTGTTAGTCTCTAATCTCTTGATTAATTTTGATTCCGTATTTTGGTGTAGATATTTGTGCCCTGAGCCATATCCAGAGGTGATTAGAGAATTTGCGAAATCAAATGGGATTCAAGTGTTTCAATTCGGAATCGAGAGATGCAAGGTGAGATTTGGTGATACTGATTTGAATTGTTTTTTTGTTGCTCTCGTTACTTTGCTTCTATGGTATGATTTCGTATTGGTTTGAGATCAAATGCTTATCGATGTATTTTAAGCTTTGAATCGCCTGTTCTTAGTTGAATACTGTGAAGGTTATATTGTTGCTTCAATTTCTCATCCCCAAGATCTCTCATAATGATTGATTAGTCGTCTTCCTCCATGTTAATCTCTTAGCCCCTGAATCTCAAAAGTGAAGTGAAATGGATACTAAGGTTTTCAATCAACTATGTATGCGTCGTCTTCTAGGGTTGTTGCTTATGTTGAGGAATCTTGGGTTTAATCTTGTTTAGCATGTGAAGTATGTGCAGAACATAATCTGTGGTTGATAGTAATTATATTGATGTTTCTCTTTGTTTTTCAGGAACCCTTTGTTAATATCCCTGACGAGGTAATCCGAGAAGCATTACAAGTACTCCTAGGTAACCTCTCTTGCCTCTCCAAAACCTCATTTTCATTGAGCCTAATGTTCTTGATCATCTATCAAAACCATCTAATCTTGAGTTTCTTCTTTCCTAACCAGATACAGAGAATCATCCTGTCTTAATCCATTGCAAAAGTGGGAAGGTAATTTGAATGAAGTCTCTCTTTCTTTCTCTTCTGCGAAAACTTAGTCACGATGGTTTCTTTATGTTCGAAAGATACATCCTAATATCTTCTCCATCTGGTTTCAGCATCGGACTGGATGTCTTGTAGGTTGTGTGAGGAAGATACAGAGATGGTGTTTGTCTTCCATCTTCGATGAGTACCAAAGATTTGCAGCATCGAAAGCTAGAATCTCAGACCAGAGATTCATGGAGCTCTTTGACATCTCCAATCTAAGGCATTCACCACTCTCCTTCTCATGTTCCAAGAGGTACACTCACTGATTACTCAAAAGCGTATACAAAACGTACTACAACTTTTATGTGTTGAATGTCGGGGTAAAAAGTTACTTTTTAAGTTAGGTGAAAAAATGGGAGATTTCGATCATTCAATAAAAAACAAACCCTTTTATACCAAAGTAAATAAATAAAATTTGTAGGGGTTTTTCTTAAATAAAAACGGATCTTGTGTTACGAGACTCCTTTTAAATGCCATCATGTAGAACAAGTTTTTTCATAAAGTTTTGTACTCAGCTTGAATATTCTAAAATATAAGTGCATAAAGGCAATGTTTAATCCATCCAAAAGTGGAATCTTTTATTTTTTTCTATAGGTATGCAAATGAAAAAGAAATACATTAGAACTAATTTCATATTAGTTGAAAAGTGTTAACGTTTACAAAATTAAGCTGTGGTGAATTCAATTTGAGGATCCAATTGTTTAAATAATTCAATTAATATAATATCCAGTCGTGTTTCCTAAGAAACTGAAAAAGCTTTTTAAACCCTCTGTGAGACACGAATTTCAAAAAGTCTCTCTCTCTCTCTCTATCTCTCTGTCTATTGGATTCTTCTATGGTGGAGGTTTCCCTTCAGAATCCATTCGTATTTGATTTTCTCGTATTCCTCTTCTTCTCTCAGAAAATATATTTCAAACGTCTGTAACTGAGTCGATAATGAGTGAACTCGGTCTCGAAACTAGTCATGCCCAACCCGAGACGCCTCAGACGACGACATTTCTCGATTTGCTCCGACTCCAGATGGACGGCAACGATCGAACCAGGAGAAGAAAACGGTCTCTTAGGGAACGGCTAGGATTTAGACGAATCGGATGCTGTGGGCCCACCTGGGGTGGTCTTCGTCTATCCAGTAACAGTCGCGCAAGAGAAGGAGACGAACCATTTGAAACCGGATTCGTTTCCGGGTCGGATCATGCAACGGTTCCGTTAAACCCGGGTATGAATCTCGCGACGGCGTTAGCGGCGGAGAGACATTACCGAACAGACCCAACGGAGGGAACGACATCATCCGGGAGTTTGACGCCGCTAAGAGTTTCGTTAATGAGATTGCTCGAGGAAACGGCGGAGAGAGTCGTCGTCGAAGGGAAGGAAACGGAGAGATTAACGGCGTCGTCGACAGTTAGAGTTAATGATTCGGTGTGTTGCGTGTGCATGGGAAGGAATAAGGGCGCGGCGTTTATCCCCTGTGGACACACTTTTTGCAGAGTTTGCTCTCGAGAGGTGTGGCTTAATCGAGGCTCGTGTCCCCTCTGTAACCGTCCGATCATCGAGATCCTCGACATTTATTGAAAACATTAAATCCTAACGGAAGTCTGATGCACGTGACTTCAGTGAGTGTGGTGTGGTGCCTAGAGATTCACGAGACTGTTACATTACGCAATTTGATTAGAGGGTGTCTATGTTTCCCTAATTGGAAATTGAAGTACAATTTTTTTTTCTTTTGAAAGATTAGTAGATGCTGACAAGCGTTATAAGATTAACACACATCTGAAAAATCTGAAATTTTGCTTCTAATTATACCAAACTAAATAAATTTTTGGTTCTAATTAGTACCCATATTCTAATCCTGAAATTCCAAGCCTGAAAAATCCAAAACGAACTTAAATACCGAATGTCAAAGTAATATGAAATTCCGTGACCGGTCGAACATTTTACAAAACTAGTTTGCTTAACGAATAGGCCTTTTTAATCTCATAAAACTCACTATCTAGGCCCATTAATTTAACTATGTTGGATCTATCACCGGATCAAGTCTCGCAACGCCAAACGTGATAATTGACAACGACTCGAAATGCAGTCTAGATATTTAGAATGCTACAGAATCTCGACCGTCCACAAAACCAATTAGCCAATGATCACAAAAAAACGGCCAAAAAGCATGCTTCTAGTCTTCTAGATCCATCATGCCATTTGCATGGCGTTTCTCTCGTAGAGGAAAAACAAAACAAAAAAATTCTCCCCCACACAAAAAGTGAGACGAAAATCCAAATAAATCAAATATTGTAATACTTATTTTCTACTCTTCAAAAAAAATGTTCCACAAATTTTATGGATTTTTCTCATTTTCATAAAGTCGGCAATTTCAGGTCAATAACTGAAAATAATCCCTCGCTTCACACGAGGCCAGGTCGATTCTTTAACGGTTACCTTAACCATCCACGTGTCAAACACCATAGCTTAGCTCATATGCTGTATCAAAATACCATCACTATCCTTTGCGTGACCGCGTCTGTTGTTTCATCAATTTCGTGTGAGGAGGGTACATATGTCATTTAACATCTACGCACAGCGACTATAAAGTCTGTCTTGGGATTCTCTAAATCGTCAGCTTCGATTTCATTTGCTGTGAAGAAATCAAGGGAGAGAGATACACAAAAATGGCGACGGTACCTTTGTTCAGTCAATTTCCCTGCAAAACTCTTGTTACAAGCTCGTCGAACTCTAAATCCCAGTCGAAATCTCCGATTCTAATGCCCGTAAATTCAATCAATCGACGGTCGGAGGTTGGACTCGCGGTTCATCGGCCGGATTTCAAGGTCCGAGCCACGGACGTTGATGACGAGTGGGGACCTGATGCGGCGGAGAGAGGATCGAACTTATCGGTGGCGGAGAAAGCAGCAGAAGAATCCATCGAATCCGTGGAGGAGACGGAGAGGCTAAAGAGATTGCTAGCGGATTCGTTGTACGGAACAGATCGGGGTCTAACCGCAGCGAGCGAAACGAGAGCTGAGATCAGTGAGCTCATCACGCAGCTCGAGTCTAAGAACCCTAACCCTGCCCCGAACGAAGCTCTGTTTCTCCTCAACGGCAAATGGATTCTCGCGTAAGTAAATATATCCTCCGATTGTTTTTCCTTTTTCCGATGGAAAAATTATCCTGATAGTTAATTTTCCGGTGATTCCGATTTAAAGGCATCTTCACGTGGTTTGACTTAGATAGTGAAGCATCCTGCGATGTCGTCTCTTTGCTTATTCGAGTCAAATAAATGATAAATCGGAATGAATTCTTATGATTTCAGTAGATTTAGCTTCGTCCATCGTGATTTGTGTGTGTGTGTGTGTTGACTATATGATTCATCGTCTCTTTACGTTTACGTGACGTTTAAATCAACTTAACTTCCCCATGTGATTTATGAATTAATGTTGAGTGTTTGTATTGGCAATTCTGATTGTATGAGCTGTATGGATCCTATAAACGTATTTTCCGGTCAAATTCAGAATCTTTCTCGGGGAAGAACAAATGAGTCTGGCTTTTCTTTATGAATCAAGAACTTATCTTGAATGGTAATCTCGTGCAGCTACACATCGTTCGTGGGTTTGTTCCCGTTGCTCTCACGCAGAATCTCACCGTTTGTTAAAGTGGATGAGATCTCACAAACCATTGATTCCGAAAGCTTCACCGTACAAAACTCTGTCCGGTTCGCTGGTCCACTCGCCACAACATCCATTAGCACCAACGCCAAATTCGAAGTCCGAAGTCCTAAACGCGTCCAGGTTAGTATATCAAATCATCATCTACAAATCTCCAAATGTCAAAATGCACATTTTACATAACCAACTTTGTTTTTTACTTGTTCTGTTTTTTTGTAGATCAAGTTCGAGCAAGGCGTTATCGGGACTCCTCAGCTAACGGATTCGATTGAAATCCCTGAGTTCGTCGAGGTTCTTGGCCAGAAAATCGACCTCAACCCCATTAGAGGGTTACTTACATCGGTCCAAGACACGGCTTCTTCGGTGGCTAGAACCATTTCGAGCCAACCACCATTGAAATTCTCCTTGCCTGGAGACAATGCGCAGTCGTGGCTACTCACGACTTATCTCGACAAAGACCTTCGGATCTCGAGAGGTGATGGTGGAAGCGTATTTGTGCTCTTCAAAGAAGGAAGCTCTCTCTTAAACCCTTGAATCATCTCATTTACTCACATCCATATATAGAAAGCCATGAGTCTCTCTGTTTATATGTTGTAAGTTGGAAATTTTATATAAGCTTCTTCACCTGTTTGGAGAGTTATTAGATTGATGTTACTCTCGTAATATACACACAAATACGTCATTAAACCGGCCGGTCAAGGGTTTCTATACAAACACTAAGCATTGATTTGAAACTAAAACCTGGACATGTAGGAGGGTTTGCGATACGTCTGAGCATGTTTTTTTGTTTGGTTTGGTTTGGTTCGAGTTTCTTAGGTTTGTGAATGGTAATAAGATTGTATGTTGAAACTAAAACCGAGATTAGCCTGGTTGATTCAGCTAGGTATAAAGCTGAAATTAGTTTGGTTTGGTTTGAGCTTACTAAACGGTATATCGAATTGAAACGAAAATTGTATCTAAGTAGGTATATACCCGCGCGATGCTATGGGATTTTTTATAGTTTATTTTATTAATTTATATCATATTCTAATAAATAAAAAATAGATACAGAAATAAATAGTTTAACTAAAATTTAATTATATATAATTAATAAATTTTTAATATTTTTATTATTATTATTATTATTTTTGTACAATAATATAAGATTTTGAAAACAATTATTATTTTAAACAAAATCAAATAAGAATGTAATTATATTTTTTGTTTAATTTACATTTCTTTCCAACTCTCTAACATCGTTTAATTTTTTTATACATTATTAAAAAATGTATCTATTTATTTTTTAAATTTTTTTTAATTTGAATACATCATTTATTCATAAAACCGAATTTAAATCTAACATGTTATCTATTTATATTTAAATTTGTTTACATTTATTTTCTTTCACTCAAAGTATATTCTTCAAAATTATATTTTTTTAATGAATATAATTTAGCTGCTCTCCTTACTAATTTTTCTATAAATATCACATTTCTTTCTCAGTCTCTGTATTTTTATTCGATCATTAGTATAACTCACTATCTTTTAATCATCTATGATATCATTCTCAACTAAATAGCCATGTAATTTGTCTATGTTAGTATTATATTGAGTGCAAAATGAGTTTGATTATCTTT